TGAATATATCATAGCAGCATGTTTTTAGTTCTCAGGTTTATTAGGTGACCCTGAATGCATCATAGCAGCATGTTTTTAGTTCTCAGGTTTACAGAGTGTCCCTGAATATATCATAGCAGCATGTTTTTAGTTCTCAGGTTTATTAGGTGACCCTGAATGCATCATAGCAGCCTGTTTTTAGTTCTCAGGTTTATTAGGTGACCCTGAATGCATCATGGCAGCATGTTTTTAGTTCTCAGGTTTATTAGGTGACCCTGAATGCATCATAGCAGCCTGTTTTTAATTCTCAGGTTTATTAGGTGACCCTGAATGCATCATGGCAGCATGTTTTTAGTTCTCAGGTTTATTAGGTGACCCTGAATGCATCATAGCAGCCTGTTTTTAGTTCTCAGGTTTATTAGGTGACCCTGAATGCATCATGGCAGCATGTTTTTAGTTCTCAGGTTTATTAGGTGACCCTGAATGCATCATAGCAGCCTGTTTTTAGTTCTCAGGTTTATTAGGTGACCCTGAATGCATCATAGGAGCCTGTTTCCAGCTCTCAGATCCTGCTTGTTGGTTTGTTCTGTCTGCAGCTGCAGCAGCTGTGTCAGACTGATGTGGTCTCTGCAGGTCCAGATAAGGTTCTGTAGTCCTGAACAGAACAAACAGCTGCTGACAGCAGATACAGAACAAAGTCAGATTTATGGAGGGATGGTCTGTCAGGACCAAGGTGGCCTGCCTGTGTTCTCACAGAGCTTGGTTTATTTTTGACTGGACTAAACAAAATGTCCTTTGACCCGGTGGACAACCGGACTCTGGACCATTGGTCCTGCTGCAGAGAAAGACCCCYTTAAAGGCTGAACCATTACTGATGGGTTCCCCTCATTGGACTCCAGATGTTCTCCAGATGTTCTGCCAATCATCCAGTGGACTAACTTCTCTCCTTCTGCAGAACCCAAGAAGCAGTACACCAGAACCAGAACCAGCATCAACAGCCTGACGGACACGTCCCAGTACCATGTGGAGGTGAGACCGGTCCCTTAAGTTCTTACTGTGTGTTTTGTTTCTGGACTCTCAGAAGGAAGGTTCTCATGTCAGAACCAGAACAGAACCTGATCAGATGAATGGATGAGTTCTGGATGTTTCAGGTGTGTTGCTTGTCAGAACCCTGAGTCCGTTTGTCCCCCTCAGCACCTCAGCACCTTCGTGTTGGACAGGAAGGACGGGATGGTCACGGTGGAGGACGGCATCAGACGTCTGCGGCTGCTGGACGCCAAAGGGAAGGTGTGGACCCAGGAGATGCTGCTGCAGGTGGAGGACAGGGCGGTCAGCCTCGCAGACCTGGAGACAAAGGTGGGACCAGAACTWTCGATGTGCTCCTGGAACCCAGGACAATCAGGGATTGGGTCCGGTTCCGTCCCTTATTTAAAAAAMATTTTGTTTTTAGAACGAGCTGGAGAACTTCCCRATCAGCTCGATCCAGCTGTGCCAGGCCGTGATGAACAGCTGTAACTACGACTCCATACTGGTCCTGGTCTGCAAGGACCAGAACCAGACCAGACCAGACCTACACCTGTTCCAGTGTGACGACATCAAGGTAAGAATCAGTAGTCTCTGTCAATAGACTCTGTCAGTAGACTCTGTCAGTAGACTCAGTCAGTAGACTCTGTCAGTAGACTCTGTCAGTAGACTCAGTCAGTAGACTCAGTCAGTAGACTCAGTCAGTAGACTCAGTCAGTAGACTCTGTCAGTAGACTCTGTCAGTAGTCTCAGTCAGTAGACTCAGTCAGTAGTCTCAGTCAGTAGACTCAGTCAGTAGACTCAGTCAGTAGACTCAGTCAGTAGACTCAGTCAGTAGACTCTGTCAGTAGACTCTGTCAGTAGACTCTGTCAGTAGACTCAGTCAGTAGACTCTGTCAGTAGACTCAGTCAGTAGACTCAGTCAGTAGACTCAGTCAGTAGACTCTGTCAGTAGTCTCTGTCAGTAGTCTNCTCAGTCAGTAGTCTCAGTCAGTAGACTCAGTCAGTAGACTCAGTCAGTAGACTCTGTCAGTAGACTCAGTCAGTAGACTCAGTCAGTAGACTCAGTCAGTAGACTCTGTCAGTAGTCTCAGTCAGTAGTCTCAGTCAGTAGACTCTGTCAGTAGACTCAATCAGCTGTGTGTTCCAACAGGCCAATCTGATCCGTGCAGACATAGAAAGTGCCATCATCGATGCCAAAGGAGGCAAAGTAAAGACACGCCCAGAAACCCTGAAGTAAGATCAGAACTTCAGTTACATCACCTGTTCTCAATACTGCAGCTGATTGGCTGACCTACCTACCTACCTGTCTGTGTGCAGGATGATCCTGAAGAGCGACGGCATCATCCCACCTCCCCCCGCCATACCAGCCCCCGAGGCTCCAGCCTCATCTAATCAGGTGGACCCTAAGGGCCGTGTGGCAGCCTGGTCAGCCTGGGCCAATGAGCAGCAGCACTGTGAGTGATGTCATAGAGGGGGAGGGGCTACTGATTTAACATGTCTGCATGTTCTGAAGGAAACGTTTGACTTTAATAAACAGGAAAAATCTTCAAAACAAGATGAGTTTTATAAAAAGGAGGAGGCAGAGTGGGGCAGGAGAGTTCCTGGTGGGGCTCTGAGGTTGATCAGAACACAGTCCTATATTTAAACTTATTGTCATCTGTTGGTTTAATCATCTGTGGCCCTGAAGCTTTATCTATGCTCTTCATCATCTTCATCATCACGTCAGCATTCAGCTGAAACTGGAGTGGATTAAAACCACGTGCAAATAAACAACAACAAAATGTTTACTGCTACACAACACAAGTTCTGATCGGTGTTGTGAAGTTGGATGTTTGTGTTGCAGACGAGCATCAGGACGAGCGGCCCGTGGACCTGACGGCGCTGGTGGTGGACCGGGATGTGGTGAGTCTGTCAGGTCTGAGAACAGAACAACAGATGTGATCTGACTGAAGGCGGGACAATAATCAGAGTCTGGAGGGAAAATCTTCTTACATAACACTGTGTGTGTGTGTGTGTGTGTGTGTGTGTGTGTGTGTGTGT